TACTAAAAGCTCTCAAGCATTCCTTTTATAAACAGCTCTAATTCTTCAATGCAAAAATGCTGTCTTCAATTATTTGTTATTGATTTGGTGCAGACCTGAGTAAGCAATTTTAAAAAATAAATAAATATGGGGCACTAAGCAATGAGAAGTTAGCTTAGTTGGTTAGAGGGTGGTGCTAATAAAAATTTGTGCAAATCATCATAAGGCTGGTTCCTGATGCAGCATATAGATGGCCATGCCATAGTGTACTAAGTGTGCTGACTAGTTTTATATCAACTTGACACAATCTAGAATCCTTTTGAGGGAAACACAGTTGAGAATATTTCTCCACCAGATTGCCCTGTGGGCAAACCTGTAGTGCATTTCATTGATTAATGATTGATGTAGGAGGGCCCAGCTCCAACCCACTGTATGTGATGCCAAGCCTGGGCAAGTGGTCCTGGAGTGTTTAAGAAAGCAAGCCATGAGGACCAAGCCAGTAGGGAGCATTCCTCCACGGCCTGTGCTTCAGTTCCTCCTCTAGGTTCCTGCCTTGAGTTCCTGCCCTGACTTCCCTCAGCAATGGTATTGTACAACTCTCAGACATGAGTAAAATAGAAACCTTCCCTCCCCACACAGCTTTTGGTCATGATCATCACAGCAATAGAAATCAAACTAAGCCATAGAGGTAAGATGTCATTCCCTACCCTAAGTGTCACTCCGTAGGAAGGCTGGGAGAGTCCAGCTGTTTCTCAGAGGCTTACCATAACAACCTGTCTCTCCCAGAACTAGCCAAACACTCAAACTATTGGGCAGATTTTTCTTTAGAACTGAAATGATTCAAGACTCCTGGAGTCCAGGAAGAAGAAGGGCTTTATTTTCACTTCTCAGAGTTCAAACAAAACTTCTTTATGGTCTTTGACTCTCTCATCTAATTCTGCACAGAAAACTGTGCTTCAAGAAGTGCAGGCAACTTCAGTAGTCAGAATAACCACAGTGGATATGAGATATCATCTGTCTCTGCTATGTATCTACCTATCTACCTTCTTCTATCCCTCCATCCCTCCATATTCTGAAAATACTTCCCTGGTGAAAATACTTCCAAGATACTTTAGATCTTGAACATCCTCCACAGGCCTAATTCTTAATGGCTTGTTTCCCAGGCTGGTGCTATTGGAGGTGGTTGAACCATTAAGAGGTAGACTGCTGTGTGATATTTTGATTATGTTCTGACAAATAAAGCTTGCTTGGAGTCAGAGCCACTTGGAGATAGCCACTAGATAACAATAGAGGTTTGGAGGATTGTAGAGAGAGGAGACAGGAAGTAAAAAGGCCGGGCAGAGAGAGGATCTCGATCCTTTTGGATGGAGGAACTGAAGAGGTGGGAAGAAACTTGTGGCTTCCACTGTTCTCTGATCTTTTAGGGTCTTACCCCAATATTTGACTCCTGATTTCATATTGATAAAGATTAATTAGATTAATGCTTCAGTAGACCTTCATGGGAAGCCTGGTTTTGGAGATACATCCTAGAAGAAGAATGTAGATCCTTCATGGCCTTTCTCACTTTCTTTCACTTCCTAGATAGCAGATGAATGGCTTTGCTCACTTGTCTGAGTTTCTACCACAGAGTGCTGCTGCCTTGCCACTGGTCCAGAGGAATGGGCAACCTGGACATGGATTAACACCTGAAGACCTGTAAGCCTAAGTACTTTTCTCTTTATAAGTTAATGATCTCAGGATTCTCAGTGAGGTGATGGAACGCTGCCTCTCCCTATTCCATTCAAAACTTTTCTCAATAAATTCACAGGTGTTCTTTTTTATTAATTTTTTTTACATTCCAATCCCAGTTCCCCCTCCTTCCTTTCCTCCTGCTCCTCCCACTCTCCCCCCCAACCTCCCATCTGCTCCTCAAAGAGGGTAAGGCCTCTCCTAGTAAGTCTACTAAGTCTGTTCATCATCCAGTTGAGGCAGAACCAAGGTACCTCTCCACCCCCACACCCCTGTCTCTACACTGGGCAAGGTATCTCTCCAAATAGAATGGGCTCCACTAAGTTGTTTTATGCATTAGTGTTAGATCTTGGACCCACTGTCAGTGGCCTCATATATTGTCCCAGTAGCACCATTGTCACCTATATTTAGGGGATCTAGTTCAGTTTTATGCACCTGAGTCAGTGATCTCTTACTAGCTCAGGTCAGCTGATTCTGTGGGTTTCCCCATCATGGTCTTGACTTTTTGTTCATATTATTGCTTCTCCCACTTTGATTGTACTCCAGGAGCTTGGCCCATTTGTTAGTTGTGGATTTCTGCATCAGCTTCCATCTGTTTCTAGAAGAGGGTTCTATCTTCTCTGGGGTTGTGGATTGTAGGCTGAGTATCTTTTGCTTTATGTCTGGCATCCACTTATGAGTACTCACTCATACTATATTTGTCTTTCTAGTTTTGGGTTACCTCACTCATGATGGTTTTCTTCTAGCTCTGTCCATTTGCCTGCGAATTGTAGGATGTCATTGTTTCTTATGGCTTGGTAGTACTCCACTGTGAAAATATACCACATTTTCTTTATTCATTCTTCAGTTGAGGGGCATTGTTTCCATAATCTGGCTATTACGAATAATATTCGCAGGTGTTCTTGACCTGATCTGCCCTGGTGTAGAGATCGTCTTGGAGTGTCACTGACTCAAATTCCAAATCCACCATTTGTTGGCTTTAGACACGTTTTAAGCATGATACTTTTAAACACATTTAACAAATGATGTCTTTGTACACTTCTCTACTTAGTAAGAACAATCATCCAACTGTTGTAGGGATTAAACATGCTCATACCTGCCATATGCTTAGATAATGCTCAACAAACCTATTATTATTATTATACTTCAACAGTTCTGTCCATACATTGTCATAGTTGAAATCATAAGCACTCTACAACACAGGAAGTCACATGTTTTCAAAAATCACCTGTTGATAAGCCAAGATTTGAATACTAGTCTTTGGCTATTAAACACTGGATTATTTCCAATTACACTGAATTATTGACATCAATTATTTATATTATTCCATAGTGAACATAGCCATTGTGAAATGTTGATGTTAGGCAAATTCAGAGAAGAAGAAACAATTGAGAACATTATACCAAATCCAGGAGAAAGTAAAAGATTAGTTGATACAAGTATTAACTGTAGCTCTGGCCCCTGACTTCATAATTTAGTATATGGTAATTTTGAATACCTCAAATTCTAAATGAGAAAAAACAGAAGAGGAGGAGGAAATGGGGAAGGGAGGAGGAACACTCACAAATAATTGAAATTTTTTGAGTTAATTAAGTTAGCATACAAAGTAAGAGGTTTCATTATAGCATTCTTATCCATACTTTGTTCTCATTCATTCCCCTCCCCCACTGTCTGCCTGTGTCCCCTGTGTCACCCACCCATTGCTGGTCCTCTTCCTCCACCCACATAGTGCTCCATTCTGCTTCCATATGTGTGTATTTTATTTTTTGTCTTAAAATTTACTTTTTTTCTGAAAACAGGTAAACTCCCTTCTTGAAGAAAGCCAGCTCACAAAAATGCAGACCTATAGAGTGGTTGCACAACCTGAGATGGACTTAAATGTCTAAATGTGATGTTCATCTCCTTGTTACCACCATAATTCACAAGCCCATGCTGGACTTGCTGGCCACTGATAGAGAGATGACATTCAGGCCTCTCAGTTCTCAAAGGTGCAGAATATTACCCCCGTGAATCCTTATCCACATGCAAGTTTTATGAGACAAGCTGAAGATGGTCAATACTCACAGACAACTGGCACGGTACTTCGTTCCTAATGAATTTTAATAAGTTAGGACATTTAAATGGATCCCTGGGGGAGTGATTCTTCATGACTGACACTCTTTATAATATTAGCATCTATTCTCATTCATAAACTTTGGATACTAATACTAGCCTTTAGGAACTTTCATGAGAGTTCTACTTAGTACAAGTCTCTTCATTATGAATGTAGTGTATATTTTAAGACAAGCTAAACATTCAAATCCTTCAAATTATAAAAAGTCATTCAAAAAACATTAAAAACTACATTTCAGGGGTGGTTTCTGAGGAGGGAAGATGATTTAAAGGTAAAGAGGACTCTTGTAGGTTGACCATGCACCAGTGGGTAGTCCCATACCCTTGAATGTATGAGCAGAACAAACTGGATTCAGTGGGTTACTAAAAAAAAATAGAGGGCACAAAATTGGGAGGAGGTGAGAAGGTGATTTTAGAGGTGGTAAGAGAAGTAGTAGGGGATGAAAATACATTGCATGAAATTCTTACGTATTAATAAAATATTTTGCAAAAATAGATGTTTCAAGCAAAGGTAATAATGCTCAAAACAATTACCATGATTAAACAGGCACTGTTCAACTCCAAATGAGTAGCAAGCATACGAGCAGATGATTAGTGTGGATTTTCCCTGTAGTTCCCACCTGACAAGCCTTCTTGGAGTAGCCTTGGTAGAAACATGCCATTCCTTAGCTACAGATTTTAAAGTCTCTACAGTGCCATTGAATCTGACTAGTGAACATGTCTGAGACAGAATCATAAATTGTGATTCAGTTCAACAAATGCTTGTCTATTTTTCCCTTTCAGCCTCGGCTTCTCTCAGCATTTAGTCATCTTTCAGGCTCCAACAGGCCTTAAAGGACACAGGACAAATTTGAAATCAGAAGACGGAACAGAACTATTATGCTAAGCAAATGATTATATAAATAATTAAAATGATGATTTCCTCTACAAAGACAGGCCCCACACCCTTTGCTTTGATGATGATGATGATGATGATGATGATGAAGAAGAAGAAGAAGAAGAATCCTGTCTGGTACCAATTCAACTAGTGTCAGATAAACAAGTATTTGTGAACTAGGTGACCCAGTGCCTTCAACATCAACAAAGCAGGTGGTTGAGGTCACCCACTGTATGCCAGGCAAAGCCCCCCAATTTCCTGGCTCCTGCCCATAAAATCAGAGTCTCCCAAGCCCTGCCCTTACCTGCTTCCCATCCAGAGTGTACAGGCGCTTCACCACACCCGAGTCCAGCTTGATAGCGTCGGTAATGTCAGTGAGAACCTGCTCGAAGGAATGAGCCGTCTTCTTGTTCAGCAGGATCCTAACCGCCTTTCGTGGCTTCACCCCACTTCTGATGATGGTGACCAGCTTGGGTCGAATGAAATCCTTATTCTCCCGAACCTCTGAGGGCCCCCCCTTGGCAGTGGCCAGCGAAGACACTGCCCGGGAGGCTGAGGTGGTCTTGACGTTCACAGACCAGTTGGGGTTCACGTTCTTAGTGTACTCCAACTTCTTAAAGGGCTCAATAGAGCCGCAGACATAGCTTTCACCTGAGGAAGAGAGGGACAATTTCACAGTCACGCCTCATGTAACCCATTTCCTTCTCCGCACTCCATTTTTTTTATTTCTCCATTTCTATGTAGAGGCCTATGACTTTCACATCAATGGAAAAATTATTGCGAATTAATTTAAAACACTATTTCTCACTTCCAATATCTTTCTTTTGATTCAGACTAGCTTATTGAGAAGGAAAACAAAACAAAACATAAAACACTCTTTCTCTCCCTTTGGTAGATGATAGAATACCAATGTGCATAAATTGGCTTCTGAAGAAAAAGAGAACCAAAATTCAAAATTGAGACTGTTGATATTTACTGGCATTTAAATTTTCAGCCGACTTCAAAATTAGAAGCACTTACATCTGGTACCTGAGGTAATTTGCAAACTAAAAACAAATCAGTACACAGCTTCTTAAATTAGGTAATATATAAGTTTAACAAAAGTATAATACAAAAATTTTGTTTAGCCAGGTCAAACTATACATTCCAGCAAAGATAACCACCTTTCTTTCCTGTTGTCTATGTCATGCTGCCTGAGCTACACACACAAGGAAGTCAGTTCACCTATCGCTTGCTGATAGGTGAAAAGGAAGAGATTGACTAGCCTACAAACTGTAGCTGCACAAATGAACCTAATATCACAAAATACTTATTAATCAATGACTCAAGAATATGCTAATGGATACTTGGTCTGAAAATATATAGATTATTCACAAAAGAATACAACACAGGTGCTGAGAGACAGCAAATTGTGAAATAGCTGATTCTAAACACGTATTTCACAGGATGAGGCAGAAACTTTAAAATTAAAGATTTTATCACAACACCCCACCTCACCCCCACACCTCATTAGTAAGTCTTTGTAATAAGAACCTGGTGACTGCAGGTAAAGTGTCCCAGGCCCCATCTAGCACAGTTAGCTAAGCCCTACTTTTAAACTAATAATGTAAGCATGCAATACCACAGAATTAAGCAGTCACATAAAAATATCCCAGCCCCAACTGGGAGTTTCAAAAATAAAAAGATAGTTGAATTTGTGTCTTAGTTTGCCTTACATTGCCGAGGTTAAACACTAACCAAAAGAAACTTGGGGAGAAAATGGTTTATTTCAGCTTCTAGCTTATAGTACATCAAAGAGGGAAGTCAGGGCAGGAACTCAAGGCAGGAACTAAAACAGAGGCCATGGAGGAGTGATGGGGAATGTACTGTGTATGTTTATCTTATTGATTGTTTAATAAGGTTCTGCTTGGCCAATGAGATGGCAAGTTAGGCAGGACTAGGAGTCAAAGAGAATTCTGGGAAATGTAGTAGAGACGTGGTGATCCAGGCAGGAAGTGACATAGCAAGGAGACTCATATTTAAAGGAGAAACAGGAAGCGTCCCTCTTTCCCCTCCGCTCCTGTTCCAGCGGCACAATGTGATCCACTGGCAAGGAGGGACGTCAATAAGGTGTCCGATAAGATAAGTCTTATAAAAATATATAGGTTTATGATAGTTAAGAGTGAGCTAGCAGATGAGAATCCTAGTCATTGGCCAAGCAGCTTTGAACCTAATACAAGTTTCTGTGTATTCATTTGGGCCTAACTCGGGCGGGCAGCTGGCTTAAAGCTCACACGTGGCAGTGGGGCTCAAGTGGCTTTTGGCGGAAAGATTTATCATAACAGAGGAGTGCTGCTTACTGGTTTGTTCTCCATGGTTTGCTTGGCCTGCTTTCTTATAGGACCCCCTGCACCACCCACAGTGGATTGAGTTCTCATCAACCATTAATTAAGAAAATGTCCCCACAGACTTGATACAGGCAATCTAATGGTGGCATTTTCTCAACTGATGTTCCCACTTCTCAGATGACCCTAACTTGTGACAAAAAACTAACCAGCACAATTTGTGTGCCAACATTTATTTTGCTAAGGGTTGTAAACGCTCCTTTCAAACACATATGTTACTCATCACAAAAATCTGTAAAGTTAAAAATTTATTCATCCCTCTTCACTGACAGAGCCTGATTTATCCCAGGTATATTTTCCCACTATCCAAGTAGATATCATACATACATATGCATATACTTCCTATGTGCATGTCCATATGCACATGTGACAGGAGCTATTCGGAAATTCAGACTGGAAACTTCGCTGTGTACGAACGTGACCTTGAACCAATCACTTAGATTTCAGGGTAGTGGTTGCTCAATGAAACTTCACTGAGCTTGTATGAAGGTCAAATTAGAAAGCCTGGGAATTCAGCTTAGCACACACACACACACACACACACACACACACACACACACACACCGAATCATGGGTAAGAGAGTGGGCCCTGGAGTCAGACCAATCACTGTTTGAATCTTGGTTTCATCCTTACTGGTCATGTGGCCTTGAGCAAGCTACCTAGGTCATTGTGCCTCAGTGTGACCTACAGTGACAGGCATGTAAGACACCTGTCTGAGCTGAGATAGAGACTGTCCTTGTTAGATTTTTTAATTGTTTGTTTGTCAACTTGACACAAGCTAGAGTTGTCTGGGAAGGTGAACCTTGATTAAGAAAATGCCCCCATCATACTGGCCTTCCAGAAAGTCTGTAAGGAGATTTTCTGATTGAAGACTGGTATGAGAGGGCTCACCATCTCACCCCCCCCCCACACACACACCCCGCCGCCACCCGTGGGTGATGTCCCCTCTGGGCAGATGGTCCTGGGTAATATTAGAAATCAAACTGAGTAAGCCATAGGAGCAAGTTAGTAAGCAGCACTCCTCTGTGGCCTCTCCTTCAATTCCTGCCTCCAGGTCCCTTCTTTGGGTTCCTACCCTGGCTTCCCTCCATGACAGACTACAAGATATAAACTGAAATCAACCCTTTCCTCCCCTTTTGCTTTTGGTCATGGTGCTTATCACAGAGCAAGGAAAGCAAACTGAGACAAGAAAACAGGGACTACAGTTAGGTTGTAGAAAGATGAGATAGTTTTGCCTTTACTTTTTCCATTGTTCAAAAATTTTCTATAATTTTATTGTAGAAGTGTGTATTTCTCTTTCAGTCCTAAAAATTGGTGAGATTGTAACTCCACAGTATTAAAGTCTTGGAAGCTTTCACATAGCAAAAGAGAGGAGAGAATTAATTGAAGAAATGTCTCAGTCAGAACAAACAAGACTTGGTATCATCTTGGATTTGAAAGGTAAGAGGGGTATAAGTCACAGGTGACATTAAATTGGGCGCATCTTATTCCATTCAGTCATCTATGTCAGAGTTCTATGGGCATTTATTTCTGGGGGTTCTAGAAAGTGGCAGTTCCAGATCAAGACTAATGGATTCACAGGACCCCTTCCTGGCAGACGGCACCATCCTGCTGTGTCTTCATAGGAGGGAATGAGCAAGGCAGTTACCATAGGCCTCTTTTATCAAGCATGTAATTCAATTTGTGAGTCCATCCTCATGACCTAATCACAAAGTTTCTGTCTCTTAACACCATCACATCAATGGTCATGTTTCACCATAGGACCTTTTGGAGTTTGCAAATATTAGTAACCTAGCAGGTGGTGACATCACCCAGAAAGGTCTGTAATGGAAGAGAAACATATTCTGGACAGTGGCAAAGGGGATTTCACATCAACACTGCTAAAATGGAAGAGATTAAGGGTTCATTTCAGCGGAATACATCCAGTCAGCCAGAGGGCAGAAGAGAAGTCTGGTCTGAGGAGACAGGTCATTATTTAGTAGTGGCCTTAAAATAATGGGAGCTGATAAGTTCACAGAAAATGATCCAGAGACAGGAGAGTGGAGGGAGGGCACCATGTCTAAAGTGTGACAGATAAAAAAGGAAGCAGAAATTACCACGGCAGTAATCACTACAATTCTACTGGTAAATGCCCAGATGTGTAAGCAGCAGCTCAAGGAGAGACAATATGTCTACAAGGATTCAAAGGTTCTCCTACAATATTTATTCATTGCCAAGAGGGACACAGTAACTTCAGAATAAAGATTTACCCAAAGTTGTTGACTCTGGGTAAGGCATGTGGACAAAACATTCCTCTGAAATGATACCCTCAAAATGATGTTGAGTTACTTCTGTGGAATCTCTATGCCAAATGGTCAGCACAAAACCAACCATCAGACCAACCCAGATGGGCATTCTACAGGCTAATCAAACAGTATTCAAAAATCTCAAACTCCAAAGGACTGCTGTCCTTCGGCAGAAGCAACAGAGACATGGCACCTAAATGCAATGTCTGTTTGCATACCAGCAATAAAATCCCCAACCTCCACGGGTAAGCTAAGGGAACTCAGTTGCTGTGTTATGTTGCTCCATCCATTGTGTTAGATTGTAGACCTTCCTTATGGTCAAAGGGTGCAAGGCATCCATCTTGTGATACTTCTGTGAGACCAAGTTAGTTTCTACATGAACTATTTGTAATTTATGCAAATGATTTGATTTTAAAACAGTAACATCGAATCCTCAACTCACATATTATATCCATATTCTCTCCATTAAAATGTTTTAATAAAATGCAATAAGAAAATGAGGAGACATGACTTCTTGACTTCAGAGCACACAGCACACAGCAGACATGAAAATAAAGTCATAAATTGTAAGGCTAGCATATTTGATTATATAAAGTTTTGTATAAATCTACATGACAGAAAACATAGAAAGCAAAGTCACTAGGTTAAAATGAATATAGAAAAAACTCACTCATTAAAACAAAGGACTAATACTTTTAAAAGAAAGATAGATCCTATGTCAGTAAAGATGACACCAATGTCACAAAAAATGATAAAAGGTACAAATCAAAAAGTGTAGAAAAATATGTAAATGCCCCTTAAACACATGAGGTCATGGAAATTAAAACCATAACAAGACAGAAGTGTTTTCTTGATATATTGACAAATAACAAGACATTTGATGACATCATCCCCTTGGAGATGGTCAGAGTGGAAACTGGAACCACTTAGGTGGACAGGATTCTCCATAGTCTTTACCTTCACACAACAGTCTTCTATGCAGTCAACCTAAAATTAACCACCAACGTGAGTGGCCAATATATATACAAGTGTGCACACTCCAATACTATTTGTAATAGCAAAGGTTTGCACATGTAAACCCTTTAACATCTAGATGATGTTAAAACCTCATCAAGAGAAGGCTGGTTAAGTAAATTAAGGTACATCCTTACAAGGAATACTGTGAAGTAAATAAAAGATGTAATTGTTCTAAATGTTACTGATAGGAAAGAGTCTCCAAAGTAAATAATGTTAAGTAAAAAGCAAGGTGAAGAACAGGATGCATTTAAAGTTACCATTCTGGATTAATTACATGTAGATTGTAATACATTGGGTAACACTAAGAAAGGACTGAAAAAAAATACAACTACTACACTATGGGGACTTTTATGGAAAACCTGCTTCAGAGCTTTACAGAAATTAATTTTTAAATATTTTGAAATTTCAGAGATAGGCCAGTGAAAATAAGTGAACTACAGAGAGCAAAGAAGCTATACCAAGATAAGAAGAAAACCACCCTGAAAGACAGGCAAGTAAAAGTCAGGACAGGAGAGAAATCACTTCACTGCTGGGTGCATCATGTGGGAATGGAGGAAGAGGTGGATTCCATTGTTTCTAACAGTACTGATCCAACAAGCATGGACTTTATTGATGTTCAAGGTCTCAGGATCTGTGTCATTTGTGTCCTCAGAAGGAACGGCTGTGATTCTGCTGTCTCATAGATGTAAATGCAAGGGAGGAATCAGCCAGCCATTGTTCAGGATCCTGCCACATCTCTCTCCTAAGAGTCTGAAGGATTCAGGTGTGGTACTCTGATTTCTCCACAACAGCTGTATCCCCAAAGTAGACTCAAAATGGCTCAAAACTGGGGAAGGAGGTCACACCCCAGGTGAGTCACTGCCGAGACAGGGCTGCAGTACAGCTGTCCTCAGTGAGCGTCATGGCTTGTGAAAACACATCAAGACCATTTTGAAAGCATATCCTTGGGAACGTCACCTACAATACACCCTTAAGTACATGTGTGTATACAAGTGTCAGCATGCTCATATAATACACATACAGACATACATTTACTTGTTTATGTAAACACACATTCACTTGTTACACAATCTGGGCTCAGAACCATTCTACCAGTGTGCCTTGAGCACTCTTATGCATAATGATCAGAGTCTAATAATAAAACAGAGAAAGTGCCCATAAGATTTATAAATAAAGTCCACATTTGTCATAGCTACTTGGAATTTTTAGCATGAGATCAAGTGAGAAAGAACAAACCTTTAAAAAAATAATTGCAAGACAAACACATTTGTCATTACACTGACTAAAGGGATTTAAATTAAAACTCAAACTTTGTCATACTGGGAGGGGAAATAGAAAGCTGATATCATGAACTGGTGTTTGCATACAATAGTTTGTGAAGTGAAGGATATGAGCCTAATGAGGATGAAGCAGCGTTTTGCATTTTAATGAGCTAAGCAAAAAGTAATAGAAGAAAAAGCAAATATCAATGAATTTCCAGCTATTTAAACACTAAGTACAGCTGCACACTAATTGTCAGTATTATGAATAAAAAATTTTAACTGAAAATTCAAAAAAATATGTAGACTCACACATGGCACTAAGATAAGATTCAATCGGAAGAAAAAGATACATTTAAAAAAAAAGGTTGAAACAATTTAAACATCAGAATATTCCACCAGCAGTTAATTTATATTGGCTGAGGGAAAATTATTGAGAGAAAATCTAAAGATGACTTTGGGAGCTGTAGAGACAGCTCAATGGTTAAGAGTACTGTCTGCTCTTTCAGAGGACCCAGGTTGTGTTCCCAGCAACCACATGGCATCTCACAACCATCTGCAATGCCAGGTTCAGGATATCCAACACCCTTTTCTGGTCTCTTCAAGCACTGCCCACACATGCTGCACATACATATATGCAGACAAAACACTCACATATTTAAAATAAATAAATATTTTTAAAAGATGACTATTTCTGAGATCAGCAGTTTCCAGTTTTAGAATTAAATGCATAATGAAAACATTCACAAAAAAATTGTTTTCCAAGAAATAGTAGAAGAAAAGTATTTCATTGAGATCAACTACCAGGCACAGGATTGGGTGGTTTCTAGGTTGATTTGTACTAGAATGTCTGCCTTCCGAGTACACTAGAAGACATGAACATACTGAAACAAGCACAAACCTGCCTTTTTGGAGGAGCAAATGCATCTTAGTGCCTACCATCCGGAGTTCAATCCTACTTCTATCATTTCCTGCTGTGTGGTGTTGCCCTCTCAGGATCACTGTGCAAACCACAGGTCTAACACACTCAAGACGGTTCTGACTAGGGCTGGACACATGCTTAGTAACTTCAACCATCGTAACTGTCTTCAACCAAGACAACAACAGCTCAGAGCAGGCACTATATTGTGTTTAAATAAACAGGAGAATGACGAGAGATGGTAGTGACCAGCCATTGCTAGGAAGGGGGTACTGTCACCAGTCACTTCCCAAGGCCACTCTTTGATGAAAGGGAATGGTAAGTTCAGAGCAGTTTGGAGCAGAAAAAGCCAAAGTACCACTGCCTTCAAGATGCCACATAAGTGACTCTAGGACAGAGTGAGGCATCAATCCCCCAACTATCTGAGTCCATGCTAAGATCTGAGCACATTTTTTTCTCTTATTATTATTATTATTATCATTATTAATTCAAGTTAGGGAACAGGCTTGTTTCACATGTAATTCCCCTCTCCTTCTCCCTCCCCTCACCCCCATTCCTTCTCCCCCACCTCCAACCTACCCCCCACCCCATCCACCCACCACTCCCCAGGCAGGGTAGGGCCCCCAACCGGGGCTCCACCAAGTCCACCAAATCTTCCTGTGCTGGGCCTAGGCCCCTCCCCATGTGTCCAGAGACAGGGCGCATCCCTTCAAGTGGGATGGGCTGAGCACATTTTTCTACAGCACCATTACCCCACACAGGATGGCTTGGTGACAGGTCAGATACCAGACTCATCTGATCTTGCTACAGAGTGCTTGGAAAACACCACCAAACGTTTTACTTCCCCTTGTACTTGCCAAGGTCATACAAAGGACATGGCACAAAAATCAAAGTTGACACAGAGATTTCATGTCAGTCTTCCCCTTTAATTTGCTGGAAGTACCGACGACCTCTGAATAGAAGGAAAAAAGCCAAGGCTACAGGCATCTTGGCAGGGTGACAAGCCACCAAAGAGATGTGAATTCCAGAAAAGTAAACACACAAAGCTCAGGCTGCTCCACACCAGCTAGAGTCCAGTCGTACTGTGCATGGGCTGGCACTCCTGCAGAGGGACCAAGGAAAGGGGGATCACACACAGCCCCCAGCTACAGGGGAAGACAAGGGGGCTCTGCCTGCATGTAGCCATGTGGCTGCAAGCCTGGACTCTAATCAGGCAGGATGGAATGCTCCCTGCTACCTATACAAGCTGGGGACCCAGCTGGACAGTGGGCCCTAGCCAAATCCTGCTGGAAGAAAGATGAATTCAGAGTGACAGTAGGCTGTATTTGGTCTGATGGTGCTACCTACTCCATCCTTACCTTCAAAACATAACCTCAGACAGACCTCTCCCAAGGAATCCTAGGGATACACAGTACCAGTTATTGTACCCAAAGTTACTAAAGTTTTGTTATGATTCCTACAGCAATGAAAGACATCATACTGTGTTCAAATGATGATGAGCCAAGCCTCAATCTTGAAACCACACTGCCCTATTCTCACATAAAATGTCCACAATAGATTATCTGTTAGAATGAATTGGATTTTAAAATAACATGGGCAGACTAATTTCTTCTTGTTCTCAAATGCCGCAAGAAGATGATAACCCTCCCCAGGAGGTGCCCAGTGGAAAGCTTGTTAGAAGATCCCATGTTTGGTCCAGCGGTCACCACTAACTTATCATATAGCCACAGACATACTATTTGAGTTTTGTGGTCTCGGGTCCCCAGTGATTAAATGAATGGGCTTTATATGTTTCCAAGGTCCCTTTCCTCTCTAAATTTTCATATCCACACTTGAAGACCCCTTGGACATCATGATCCAAAAGCTCAGTTGGTGTCTGGAAACACCTCTAAACTGTACAAATGAAGACACAAAATGAACTTTAAAGGTTATGAACTTTAAAGGTTAACAAGACATGGGTTTGAGAAAGCAGACAGGATGCTTTGGGATTTGACACGTTTTCCTTCTGCCTGTCATGATTAGGGGCTACCTGGCTAATTCACTTTCCGTTCATTTTTACAGAACAGGAAACTTAACTATGTAAAGCTGTAAGAGGCTCCTAGCCATAACAGACAAGTGACCCTCAGTGGCCTCAGTGGCCTCAGTTGCCTGCAGCGTCCCCAGAGGTTCACAAAGGCTCACCTTCCACCAGCTGGTCCAGACTGGAGATCTTCTTGAGCCCATCGATGGTGTAGATGGTTCTCACCCCCTGGGGCAAATTCACATTGTCCGAGAGAGTTCGGGTCAAATCAGCCAGCAGGGCCTCAAAGGATCGGAAGCGGTCTGGGGAGATGGCGTACACAATCCCTTTGAAGTAGCGGTCACCGTTTCTGTAGAATCGAACCTTCTTGGCTTTCTTCTCAGAGCTGAGCGTCTGCAGCGTGCGGGTGCGGTAGAAGCTGCAGTGGGCACTATGTGTGGGACTGGGCAGACCGTTCACTCGGGACCCCCTGCTGTACCTCTGCGCCTTGTCCCGCTCATCAAAATGCTCCAACTCCATATCTCTGCCGAACGACATGACTGGCTTGTGTGTGGAATCTGTGAACCCCAGAAAGAGAGACAGACCCAGTTACCTGAAGATCGTGGGTTGGTAGGCTCTGAGAGCAGCTGGGAGGAAACATTGCAATGACTGGTGATGTATTTGCGTTGTGGAGTGGGAGAAAAAGAGGAGGTGGATAAGCAAGGAATAGAAAAAAACACATCTCAGTGGTAACAGCCTATTACTCAACCACAGTTTGGTTATACACACTCCCACTGCTGTCTGCCTACCATCCCTCAGGCTGCAGTCATACCCTCTCAAGGTGTCACCTGCATATTTATAAGTAGAGAAACTGAGGCCTGGGATATTTCCTCTTACATTTCTCCAAGTAATATAGTTGAGAGATATTTCAACCAGGGACATTCTCCCCCACTCCCACACCCCTGCTTTGCCTGACTATAAGGCCCATGTGAGCTGTGCCCAAGTAGTGTGTCAATCTCATAGGCAGGTAGAAAAACGTGAGCTTTCATATACTAAGCAGAGTGGCCAGACTATAGGAGCTTTAATCAGTGTGTGTTCCCTGTGGCCAAGTGGAGAAGAAATTAAATCAATCTGGAGGTTCTATTTCTTTTAAGAAAGACTTTGAACATAAACATGTGTCCCATTTGCTAAAAAGTAACTTCACCTCAACCCTTTTGCTTGTTCTTAGTAATAAAATGGGGTAAAAGGAGATGATGATAAAAAGAGGGTGGAGGAAGAGGATGAGGAAGGGGAAGACAAAAGGAAGGAGAAGAGAAAGGAGCTGGAGGAGGAGAAATGAAAGATGTACTTATTTGGCAGTATTGTCCCCTGTCCACCTAAGGGATCACTCTATCTCTCTGGTTAAGGAAGTCAAGTCTTCATTGCAGCTGTTGAACACACTTGACCCAGTATAAACTATATAGCCTGACAAATCTACTTGATTGGCACCTGTAAAACTCAGAAATGGGAATAAGAATAGTACCTATTTCATTACTCATAATAGCTACTAATACATACAAAGCTTGCATGTGATGAGCATTGATTTACTTAAATAACGTATGCTTTCTATTCCAAAGAGATAACTAGTGGAAACAGAGCCATCTCCTACCCGCTCTTGCAAGGGAGGCACTTGGTTGCCATACCATGAGCCTCTGTAAAAGAGCTCTGTACTGCCACAGGTCCCATTGTGCTTTCTACAAGGCCCTGCTGTCAGTGAGCTTTATGGGATAAAACCATTCTTGCTAGAAGTTACCGATAAAGAATTGCCCTTGCAGGAAGATCAGTGTTTTGACCCAATAATCTGGAGAGTGGAAAAGGCTCAGTCAAAGGGGTATATTTTTAATGAAAAAAATTCTAGTGACACTGAAATAGAATATTGAGTGAGATTGAAGTATGAAGGAAGAACCAAGCTCTCCCTTGTACTTCCTACGTCACTGATGGGAAGTATCTCCAAACTCAACAAAACTACTGTGTATTCCCTTCACATTCAGCAAACTGACCCCTAAGCCATTCAGAGTGGGTTTACGTAAAAGCTTACCTATCAGTTCAGTAAGTTAATTTAATTTAAAATTTGTGATAAACTGAGCATGATGGGCTATCTTCAGCTACATAGTAAGTTCGAGGTCAACCTGGGCTACTGAGACCCTGTCTCAAAAAAGCTCTAAATTAGTTAGTTGATTAATTAAAACTTGCAGTAAGAAAATTCATATACAAAATCATAGCTAGAGAATTTGCAGTCCAGAAATGAGTAAAAGAAAGCAACATTGGTTTCCAGGATACAGGGACCCTAAGATTCAGCCATCAGCTATTTAATGTGGTAAAGTGTCACAAACAAAAAACTTTTCTGAAAACACACATGAGGCAGTTTGTCTCATCAAAGCTAGGTCTAGAAAATTGGATTTGCCTGGAGTCTCCAAGTTACAGTTGAGGGAGTTGGCTTTATCATGATTCCAAATTAGGAACTCTTTGCCCCAGCTCTCTGGCACTAGGCCTTGGTCCCGTGGAAATATGAGTTTTGAAGCTGCCACACCTGTCTAGCTCAGCGACTCTGTGTGGGAGACCCAACCAAGGAGCTCTTGGGTTGTAAAGTTCACTGAGGGGAGTTAGGGCACAAAGGGAGCACAGTATGATTGAAACCCTCAGTTCGAGTTCATTGCATCTTTCCTTCAAACTGAAAAACTGACTCTCATGTCTCAAATAATCATTCATAATCTAATTTTTACATCTTTATTAAAACTCTACCAGCTTTAAAGTGGTTTTGTTGATTTTGAAATAAATAACTTCAAAACAGTCACCACTGGGACCAATCCTGTAGGCATTAGCTGTGTAACAGAACTAAAATTCTCCTCTTATAGAGATACCAACTCCTACTTTGTCCACATATTTGTTAAGGAATCTGTCTTCACAGAGGTGTGTGGGTTGAGGATGAGGTTTTGAGGAAAAGTGGAGAGGGGAGAAGGAAAGGGGGAGGAGGGGGAGAAGAGGAGGGGTTGGAGAAGACCACTATGCTGAGCCCACTTAGTAAGCTTCCTAAGTGACAAAGGCTGAGGTGGCTTTTGACTGGGTTTGTTTCCTTTTGAAAGGCATTGGCCATTCTTCCATTCCTAGAGGCTTCTTCCCAAGTAGATAAAAATAAAAGGAAATAAACAGGGACCTAGGAAAGGGTAGCACAGTGATGTGACCAGACAGTGAAAATCAAATTCCAAGAGTCTTAAGCAGTTCACATTTGCCAAGAAGCATTGGCAGTTGTTTGAGCTGGGAATGCTTTTGGGAACAAGAATCCAAACCAAGTGGGGAAAAAAAAATCTTCTTAAAGCAGAGAAGAGTTTGGTTTAGTCATGGGTTCATGCAGGGTAGGGATTACCTCTCCTGCTTGCCATCAGTGAGCAGGCAGGCAGGGATGGTACAGAACTCTGCTCAAAGTGCAATTGCTGTGAAGGCCACAGCTTTCACTAAGTGAAGGTCAAAACCTGCCCTACACACTTGAGTCTTCTGGTAGTCATGCATGGTGTGAAAACAGGTGCTCTCTCCTTGCCTCTGCAGGCTCAGCTTTCAGAGACTTTGTCACACATGTGAACTAAGAACTCCAGAAGAAAATTCTCTGGGCTTCCAAAGGCTCGCACTTTCTGTAGAGGATGTAGCTAGAACACACTGAACCAGCATTCACAGACTATGGGTGGCTAGAGGTCTTGGGATACATGTGTACTGGCACCAAGAAGGTACTCACAACCCTCAGCCACAGACACCACAAATCATGGGTGGAGAAGAAGAATGTGAACATTTCCTATAAATATCATAAAGCCAGAAAAGCACCATTGTTCTTTGTGGTATTTCTCCCCATTCTGAGGA